CGAATGTTAAAGTTGACTCGATGATGAACGTGTGTTGGTGGTCCGATGATAGAATCCTCACCAACCATTCATGTGGTCCATGTTTCGATCCTCGACCAATGCACTCCTAAACCTCACTTAGTCGTTAGTATGTCCGGTAAAGAGGGAATGTCATGAGTGAAGCTAGCATTCCCACCCAGTTAAAAGAACCCTATCGCGACTTAAACTTCAAAGCTGAAGTGTGAAGCCGTCCACTTGGAGAGTAAAAGGAATGATTTTTTTTCCTTACGAATAGATATGAACTATTGTAATATTATTAACCATGGATCATTGGTATGAGTTCTCTATGTTTTATGTGATCAAGTTCAGTTACCTGGAACAGATTTATGATATTACCAGGCCACTAGCCATACTTATTGTGTGAGGTTTAATTATTATTGTTATCATTCCCTTGCGTTCCGAATGGAACACAAGGCTTCAACATGACATCTCCTATTTCTTCTATTTTCTGCTGTCCTCTTCGGATGCGTCCACGATTGCCCGTAATCTCTCATCTCGTTACCGCCACACTATCTCCTGCATGTCACTCTCGTACCGACGACCCACTCGTCGCTTCCCATTCGGATTCCACTGAAGGGCCTGGCGTGCGGTGTCATTAGACGGTTTCTTCAGTGTATACCCAGTCCATCTTCATTTTCTCCTACATATTTGTTGAACGGTTCTTGGTTGATTGGTTCTCAGCCAGAGTTTTTTATTTTCTAATTCTTTCTGATTGACCGGCCATTTGATCTTCAGTGTGCAACGAAGGTGGCAGCTGGTTGATAAAAGTCTGTAACTTGTTGGAAATCCTTTTCGTAACACTCAGTGAAAGTTTCCGACCCGTATAGAAGAACTGACATTGACTGACTTCACATTTGTGGTGGAAATCCGAATCTTGTTCCTTATGCTGAGTGCAGAATATTTCCAGACTGGTTTCAGGTTGATGAAAAAGCGTGCGTATCTTGCCTTTCCAAATCTGGCTGGCTTTGATATCTTGGTCCGTTCTGCCTGTAGTTGAAACGATATTTCCCAGATAAGTGAAGAAGGCAACCTCTGTTAAATCTCATCTATTGATGGTGTTTGATTCTGGTTGTTGTTGCTGCTGGTTGGTTGGTTATCTTCATCACCTCCGTCTTCTCTGTGTTCACTTTGAGTCCTGTTTCACTGCCTGTCTCTTCTGTCAGTTTGTTGGTTTTTGTTTGCAAGTTTTCGAGTTTGTGTGACATTAGACATATATCATCTACATGCGAAATCTAGATCTTCTATAGTCTTCTTATCAATGGTCCAGGGTATTTCTGTCTCCTCGCCCCCCCCCTCCATACGCCCAGTCTGACGCATAATCCAGTCTACTACAATTAGGAATATCATCGGTGATAATAGCCAACCAGCTTGTCTTACTCCTGCATGCACTTCGAACGCCTCGCTGAGTTTTCCTAGGTCTTGCTGACTAGCTGGTGAATGTTTAAGCTTGTAAACCACAGTACAATCTGAGATTCTTAAACACTGTAAACTCAACAATATATTTATAAACTAATTCCAAAGGAAATCGTCCCACCTGAATAATAATCTAGTGCTCATTAATATCTTCAAAGACAATCGCCTCTTTTATATTGTTTTGTGATGTTTTCCCTTGGCGTTCTTGATCAAATGAATCACTTACCGATGGCATTGATTGATTTCTGTGATCTATTATCTAATTTTTTAAAGTGATCACTGCCAGGACCTTCAATGTCCTAAACAGCTCTATCTTAAAAGAGTGTGATCACATTCTGTCGGAAGGTGATGATATTGGTGATGAGCTAAATTGTCCAATTGTGTTCTTTAATCTTCTCTAATCCAATTAATAACAAGTAAAAACCATTTTGATGTTGTTGTTGTTGTTTACTGTTTACAATTTCAAATTTCTCTTTTCTTTAGTCAGCTATAACTGTAAAAGATTTTATAATGCCTATGCTCTCTATGAAAATAATTACTAGTTTTTGAGGACAACAAAATAAAACGATAAAAATTATTATCCTTTTATACAAGTTTATAGCGGCTGAATATGTTTCGGCAGCATCTGTTTTCTTTCTTGTATCCTCTGTTTATATTCCTTTTATGTATATATATATATATATATATATATATATAATGTCCTAATATTAGATTATTACTAGATTTTTCATCTTCCCAACTTTATTTTTAATGTTGAGTTTTCAGTCCCCTCGCCCTCTCTCTCTCTCTCTCTCTCTCTCTGCGTATTACACTGAATTACACGGTTATTTATAGACTGCAATAATAATAATAACAATAACTGTCCCTTCTCATTGAATTGGTTTATATATCTATGAGTATAGGAATATGATTGTTATTATTATTGTTGCTGTTGTGGTTATTTTACAATGTTTTGACCAATTTTAAATTAATTAATCCATTCATTCATTCATCCATTCATTATGCTTCATTGCTTTATGCAATCAATGTTTATTTGTGTATATATATGTATATTGAAGTTTATGTTATATCAAGTTGTTTTATATAATACTATTTGTTCCTCCTCTATTGAATTCAATTGAATTGATTGATATATGTATAAAGGCATTAAGAAATAAATTATTTGCATTATAAAAGTGCTCTCTCTCTCTCTAAGTTATTTGAAGTTGATGGGTTGTTTAATTTAATAGATTCATAGAGGAGAGTTAATTTTCTGTTGATTCTGCAGTTCGATAAGGAATTACGGAAAGATGAGTGCTCAGGGAATAGCTGTATAGAGAAGATTCCAGGATTTATACTTTTTCGTATTGAAGACTTAAATGCTGAATAGTTATAAGTATGAAACTTGAGCACTGTGATATAGTATAACTCCATTATGGATAAGATTTTATTTTGATAAATCATACAGTGTTGTACAGCAATATTAACTGATGACGTTTCGAGCACAAACTATTGCTCATAGTCATATCGAGTGACTCACATAAATTTTTACTTCATTTATATACATGAGTGGAATTGATTAGACATTTGAATAAAAATCACCATAGGATAATGTACATTCAGAAATAATAATATAAGTGTTACTGATCAATTAGAATCAGATAGGAAATAAGACGAGTGTTTTTATAGTCATAATAAGTAATTTGTTAGAATGTTGTGATGTACGTGAATTGAAATAGAATTTTCAGATTATTTATTATCCTCCTCTGACTGGACTGGTGGCAATAATATCTTCCATATTTCTGGTATTTGCATTGAGTCATTTCTATTACGTGTTTTAGGTGTAGACTCAATGAACCAGGATTCAATAATCAACCTCTCTCTCTCTCCACCCACCTAGATTACTTCTTAGATTTTTAACCCTCTCCCACCCTATTGTGTGGTTGTTTGTTAATGCACGTAGTGCAATCGCTGAGCTTTTTTCTAAATTATTTACCTTCTCGGGGTCAACCATTCTTATCTTAGCTAAATTCTTATGTTCCGAAAATTTCACTCATGTACATAAATAAAGTAAAAAGTTGTGTGAGTAACTTAATGTGATCATGAGCAATAATTTGTGCTCAAAACGTAGTCATCAGTTAATATTGTTGTATAACACTATGTGATTTATCAAAATGAAATTTTATCTGTAATGGAGTTAAGTGCTGAATATATTTATATTGTGATGAATGCTTAAACACACACTAATAACTGCCATTAGATAAATGATATCCTTCAAGAGAATTTTTCCTTTTGATTATTTACATGCATTTTGAAGAGGGGAATAATTTCATAGTCCTGACTTAAATCGGAAAATTAGTTTACAACAAGATTTGATCCAGTATGCTTTGTATCACCGACTCAGTGACCTTCCTAGCATCGGTAACTAAATCCCGCTTTCAGCTAAATCTCATAGTGGCACTTATAAGTGCGATGATGTTCGACCTGTATGTGTATGGTTTGTTACTTTTCATTCAACACTATCTCATCTAATGTATGTGTAAAACTTGGGCACTGTGGTAGTAAGTAATTCCATATTAGTTTGTTTATTAGATGTATCACACAGTGAAACAGTATTATTTACTGGATGACGTTTCGAACACAATTCATTGTTCATAATCATATCAATTTTGATCACACGACTTTGAAATTTCAGTTTTGTAGTTTTCTTTGTTCTCCTATTTGTCGTCGTTGGGGTAGTAGAATTTTCCATATATCTGGGACAGGTGTTGAATCATTTCTATTACATGTATTTGCAGTTGATTCGATAAACAAAACTATCTCATCTATCTAAAACCGATTTTCCATGTACCGATCTCTTAACTGTGCGTTATTGGCACAGCGGTTTGAGGGCCGAACCCTGGCCGACGCGCTCCTTTACCTCGCTAATCCAGTAATAAGACTGATAAAGAGGAAAGGTTGGGATAGGTGAGGCTAGCAACCCCATCCTGTAAAAATTAATACCACTGCTACAGAAACTTCAAGCCCTCTATAGCTTGAAGCTAAATGTTCCACTGGGAATGCATGACGGCTGAGGATACTACGTGGTCACTTAGGCTGGAGTAGGTAGAGCGAGATTCTAACACATAACACCTACTAGCAAAAAAGTTCGATGCTCATGCCTATGACTCATATCTCTACATTTAGCACTATCATGTTAGCTGTAGTGTGTCAAGTAATTCTTGTAATTCAATTCAAATCGCATAGACAGCGCTTTGTTGATTCGTTGTTTTGTTTGATTGTTTGTTATAGTAATTAAAACAAATACGATCAATTGTCATAGATCCATCATATATATAATGCTAGTGAATAATACTCTTCTTATAATAGATAAGCGCAAATATTTTGTCAAATAAACAAAGAAGTTTTTCAGTGGGGGATTATTTTTAACCACCCAGTATACAAAGCAGATTTCTATCTGACAAAAGAGACATAAATATTTTCTATTCTATGCAAGCTTTTTTTTTAGAAAAAAATTTATTTACTACTAATTTTGATTTCTTTTTTGTTTGTTTTTTACAATCTGTCAGTTGTCAGAAGAATGCAGTTGTAATTCACAAGATACTTCGCAAGAATTTCATCCCCTGCCAGCTTCACATCCTTTTTATAAACTACATGAAATTGACTCATCCCACTGGTCACTTTATATATTTGTTATCCAGTTACCAGTGACAAAACTGAATAATAATAATACAGAGCAAAATAGTAGTAGTAGTAGTGTTACAGTCCAACCGACAGAATCAATCACCCCTCAATCGCTACAATCATCGAATACAATAAAACGATCAACTGGAGGGAATCCAGCTACTTTAGGTGTCAGTGTCTCCGTGAGAAAATTGAGTCATAATCGTATGAATGGGATTAGTATTGGTAGTAGTTGGGATGTTGCTGGGTGTGGGGGTAGCGGTGGTGGGGAGGGTAAACGTACTGATGAGAAGATGGATCATGCCCTGGATTCACAATGGAATGCTGTATTTGTTCGTACTGTTATTACTGGTGGTCCTGCTTATCAGGTAAGCTTTGTGTGCTTTTTTTCCTCCTCTTTGTTGTCTTTTATTCTGTTGTTAACTGTTTAGCAGCAGTTTTATTCATTGTGTATGATTGATGTCAGAAGTTTTTTTGTTTGATTTTTTTACATGATATTGTCCTAAATTTATTATTGTTTTATTTAGTTCTTCGGCAAAGTTAAACTGTAGACACCACTAACAACCAATCAGCAAACGACCTTGAACGGACCAGTCACATTAAAGAGGCATATATGATGAATGGAAATGTATATTTGTAGAAAAAAGCATAAAATAGAGAATAAAAAAGTTACATGGGATATCTTCCTCGAACATGTGAGAGAAATATCTCCCAGTTTAGCATGGGACTGCCAATGGAGAATTTACACCATATCCTGTACATATATTCGTCCAAATGACCATAAATGAGATCCTTCTGAGATCTATTTATAGCCCTTATCCTATTTTTTAACCTGCCCCAAAATCCTTCATTAGAATTTGTATGTGTCTTCGTAACGGGATCCACAAAATCACTTGAATGGTTGACTCTATGATGAATATATCCCAGAGATGACAGTGAATTGTAGCCGTTCCACTTGTCGGTGTGTATAATTGACCCCCGCTTAACAAGTCTGGTAATAATAGGTATAAGAGTAGTTGCTTTTCTATCTGCTATCCTTAGGGAGAGAAGCGACCTAGCGAAAAAAGTTCCTACGAAATATTAAAATTATCAGCTTACTCTCTCTAGCGTTAGTAGGCTTCAAACATATAGCACAACGATGGACAAACCCATCAGTTGATTTGGTATAGCTTTTTAAAGTCATGATACCACCACACAAACAAATTCGCTATTTTCGGCGCAACTCAAATCCAGGAAATACTGGAAAACGCTAACCTCCTCATATTGCAACAATAGCTTTGTAAGGTCACGCATTAGAAATGAATCAAGCGCTATAAAACATTGAACTGCGTTCGTGAACCTCATTGGATAATTCGATATCGTTCGTGAATCTCATTGGATAATTCGCTGATTGGTAGTTATTGGTGTCGAAAGTTTAACTTCGCCAGTTCTTCTGTTTTCATCAACATAGATTACTGTTCTGGTTAGTTATTCTTTGTTATATACTCATGCTGATGGATTGATAGGTTTAGATTTTTGTACACAAGATTGTCAGTTTAACTTACCTGATAAGGCATTTTATTAAAAGAAGAAATCAGAATTATGATATATCACTAAAATGAGAATATATAAATATCAGTGTGAGGTTGAGAAAGGAACTAATACACTGTGGCGTGTGCTACTGATAAGATTTATTAGTAGTATATAAAGAGATGTTCATCAGCATAAAAACATCAAATATCAGTTAATTCATAAATTTATTCTCCTTTTTATGAATTTGAATACAGCGAGAACAACAGTTTTTGCAGAATAATATGGTACTATCATTTATTTCATTGACTTCTCATCATTTGGTTCTTGTCTATTGGACAACGTTCTGTTTAGTGCAGCCAAAAGTCGACAGATGCCCCTCTCATGTTAACTCCAACTGTGTATACAAATTAGCGTTTATCTGGGGAGTAGTTACTTTGGAAGAATAGAAAGGCACACTTCCGATTTTCTTAACATCTATCGAAAAGCCTATGTCTCAAGGGAACAAACACTTACTGTAGAACCATTACTAGGTACCCCCTTGATACGGGTCATGAGGTGGAAATCGCAAAATCCTTTAAAATTACCAATAAACGAGAAAGCTCAATTCTCCTCTAGTTTACTGAATCAATCTCTATCAGACGCCTGAAACCTGATTTGTGTTCAGAAAGAAGCAGCTTTCAATCTTTCCTTGCCTTGTCTGGTAACTGGGTGTCTTTATTCTCTCTTAGATTAGATTACGTAATCTTTGGCTTCAACCTCACCCACATTTCCATATATTGTAATTTTGCTTGGCTCTTGTTTCTATAATTGGAGTTGAACTCAGCATATTGTCACCCAGTTTATAAGTTACTTATCAGCATACGCACCTCTCGTCCTTATTACGTAACTCCTTTACCATTGTATGCATATATTGTTTAAACTTGAACTCCTTGTGCAAAAACTATATAAGCGTTATTTTCTGAGCATTAATCACTAAGTTCGGAACGTCCTGTCAACTAACATCATGTGAAATTTGCAAGTATGTTAAAACTTTTCTATACATAGACTTAATAATTATTATTATTTATTTAGGCTGTAAGCAGATGATGAGAAGCCAACGAATTAAATGATGGTGCCATATTATTCTGCGAAAGCGGTTGATCTTGCTTTATTCAAATGGCAGCGAGATAGATATTTTTCTTCAAAATATCTCATGGACGTCTTCCAAAAGAATGGATATCCACGGGAATTTCATTAAAAGACATATACCCCTAAGCCAACCTACCAAATCAAAGGCCCCTATGGAAAGCATAAATAAAATCGCCTTACTATATATAAAGGATATCTCAGAAATCACTGCAAGACTGTTCAAACCTTTAGGAATTGACGTCGCATACAAACCAATAAAATCACTTCACTCAATTCTATGTCAACCAAAAGACTCAACAGCGAAAGAAGATAAAACCAACATCATCTACAAAATAAATTTTAACAACTGCGAAAAACACTACATTGGCCAAAGTGGACGTCCCCTTCGTCTTCGTATCCACGAACATAAGCTAGCCGTCAAAAGACATGATATCCATTCCCGCATATCTCTCGCTACATACAGACAACCACGAACATCAATTCGACTGGGACAACCAGCGTTCAAATATTAGACAGAGGAATCAGCAAAAATGCTAGAGAATTTTTAGAAGCTTGGCATTCCAGTGAATCATCAATCAATGAACACATCGATATAGACAAAATTTATCAACCGATAAGAAAGAAACCTCGCACACAAAGGGTCAGAGTTCAAGCCAAAGAAACAATCAGTTCCAATACAAGTAGCTGCCTAGAGGGTGTGAAAACACAAAAACAACCAATCATGTCTAAAGTCACCAGGAGAGATGATTAATAAACTCGGAGAAATCTCACTTCAGCGAATTGAAGTATGCCTGCTGAAGATGTAGTCTAGTAGGGCGATGAAAGCTTCGCAAATTAACCATCCAGCTGAAAGAACACAACCAAATCAAAAAGATAAGGTGTACATGATTTCGCCATATAGAGATAGCAAGTGTTTCCTCTTCTAACGTTACATCTGTCTTTGTGAGCGCTTTAACATTGTTTCACTGGTCGGGATCCTTGAGATACCCAAGAACCGATGGCTTGAGACTGTTGGTGATATGGCTAAAATGTGTTCTCAGTGGCACACTTTCTGTGATCTCCGAGATCTAATAAACCTGCATGTACTTCCATGTTACTATTCTTTCTCTGTTCATTATAGTTATTGTTAATTTCTCTTCTTTTATCTACCTTTGTGTGCTACATAGCATAGAGTGTGACAGCTTGATCTGCTGCACTTTTGTGCAAAGTTCTATGTTGAGTCAGTCAGTTATACGTTACGTCTCTGATCAACTTTTACTTTTAAGTACCCAATGTCAAGTCGGTCCTTCTATATGGGTCAGAAACTTGGCCAGTGTGTAACAAAAAGGATTTCAAACAGTTTGAAGACTTTTATCAACAGCTGCCCACTTCGCTGACTGGCTCCTTACTGAAGACCAAATGGACAAAAAGAATAAGCAACAAGAAACTGTGTCTGGGAATAGGCAAACCAAGAGCCGATCGCTCAACAAATATGTAGGAGAAAATGGAGATGGATAGGGCATCCGTTGAGGAGGCCGTCGAATGACATCGCGCACAGTGTAGGCCATTGCTTTAGTGGAATCCAAATGGGAAGCGGCGAGTGGGTGGGCGGTGCGAGGGTGACATGGAGGAGATAGTGTGAAAATGAGATGAGAAAGTTTGGGCAATCGTGAACGCAGATGAAGAGGACAGGAGAACATGGAAGAAAGTTGAGATGTGTTGTTCCACTCGGAACCCAAGGGAAAATTAATAATAACCCTGTATGCTTATTCTGTATGCTTCGAACCAGTAGTTAGTAATTTCATGAATTCGAACCATGTCTTCATTTGACTATTTCTAATTCTTTTGTGCGTCGGTGGCACAGTGGTTAGGACTCTCGCCGATCATGCACATGGTCCGGGGTTCGAGCCCACGCCGACGCACACCTGATATCTATGGTCGGCCTGCGAATTTTGGGCTACCGATATCCATGCTGAAAATTCCACACTTGTACCAAAAATACGGTGTGGAATCAAGCTGTAATCAAAAATAAAAAAAATAAATAAAAATAAATTATATCTCTCTTAACATTACTCGTAAATGGTTAACTGTGACTGGGCATGTTGTAACATATACCATGAATGCCTCTACTGATTAAGATTAAAAAATCCCATCGATTGTCTAACTCTCCTCACTTAACATTGGGTCATATTTCACTATTCCTCACTTAGCATATCTCCTTCTTCTAGTGATTGTCTTCAAAATGAGTACTGATGTTGAATTTCTTTCATCTGTGATTAATATATTTCTCAGTTTTAAATTTTAATATTTCTTTATTAAAGAGTAATGCTTGAATTTCTGGTCTATATCATGTTACAGATAACGGAAAAGTTAAGTTTATTATGCGCTTCCAGAATATAACTCCTCCTAGTTGATTACCTGAAGTTTGAATGTTATTTATAAATATCACATTAATTTTTAATAAAGAAATTCCAATTTAGCATTTCAGTGTGTTCATTATATTTCAGAAAACATTATGAATAAATGTTGTCAATGGTTAGTATATTCAATTTCCAGTAGATAGGGTAAAATAGCATGGTCATTATTAGTTCATTTATACTTTGATTTGTTCTAACTGGACCCACCGACCCATCCACCCCCGTTTTGTCAAGACACAGTTAGCTCTCTCTAATGGAGACTATCTCTATGTTCTCCCACTTGTTCAGTTGTTGTTTCATGTTGCATATTCAAAGTTTGTATCGAAGTGCTCGAAGAAACTCAAAAAATCTAACAAACAGGACAAATTTGCTGTATGTTGAGTATATTACTTATTATGCAATAGCACAACGGTTAGGGCGCTCGCCAACCATGCACATAGTCAGGCTTTCAATCGCCGTAGGACGCACACCTGATATCAACGGTCGACCTGCTAAATTTGGGCTACCGATATCATACGCTGAAAATTCCATACTTCTATCAAAAATGCTGTGTGGAATCAAGCTATAATAAAGTAAATGCATATTATTATGGTGTAATTTGCCAAGTCTAACTATTTCCTAAGTGATCATCAGTCTGGTCATTAATGGTGGTTGAAAACGATTGATGGCTAAGCAGTTTTGGCGTCAGAAACTTTGAATTTAGATAATATGGTTTGAGCAAGAAATTGTGCCCGAAACATTATCATCCAAGAAGTAGTAATGTATTACGGTGGAAGTGATTACTCGTATTGTAACAACAGAAGACAAGGGCCAGGCAATAGATCCTTTATTGAGAAAATCAACAGATATTAATAGATTTTTGTGTACATTATTATTAGAGTTATTGTTAGCAATGAAGCAACTTCTTCTGATTGGTTGTTTTCTAGCCGAAAAATTGTTTTGTAAGGCTTGTGACCGTTTCTTAGAAAGTTAAGCCAAATATCTGCGAATCGTATTTGCACACGTTAAGTCTGCTGTGTTTGGTTGTTGAGTTCCTCAAGGTTAGGCTTTGTTCTGGTTTTTTCTCATGACTCCGATTGGGAACGTAACATTAACGTAAATTGCTGTTTACAAATTTTGGCTTGCAGCTAGCTCTCACCACGCTACAACTGATACTGGAGACCAGATGGTTGTCCAGAAATGATTAACAACAAGGAACTGTGTGCAGCTAACTTGCCAAAAACCGATTACCCAACAAATGTGCAGAAGAAAACAGGAATGGATTGCAGAGACCTTTGAGGGATGTTAGGTTGACCCTGCAAATGGAAGCGATGGGTTAGTGTGAGTCCAAGGGCGATACGTATGAGGTCGTGTAGGCAGTCGTCGAGCTAGCAGAAAATGATATTAACGAATAAAATGAAAAAGAGAAATGCTATTGAAACCCTCCGTTCTACTCGGAACGCATGGAACGAATAATGATTGTAATTTATTGGTACTGTTGAAGTAGTTTCTAATTGCCTGACCTTTTAATTGTACATTTTTGTTCTGTTTCTATTTTTTTCGTGTGACTTTTTGACCACAGGATGGACGTTTACAAGTTGGTGATCGTTTATTAACTATCGATGGTCAACCTCTATCTGGTTTATCTACATCTGATGCACTTAATCGTTTAAAATCAGTGATTGCAAAAAATTTAAATGAATATCATCCATGTGTTCACCTGTTAATTGCTCGTCGTCGTCATAAATTAACTAATTCAGATGATTCATATGCTAATTCTGTTGAAGATACAAGTGAAAATAGTACACATAGTAAAATGCTGATTATTCCTCATCAGCATAAATCAATTTCAGAAGTAGTAAGTGTATACATTTTTACGCGTAAACAGTACTCGAATAAGTTGCAAAACGTAAAAAATGTTGCATTTAAATAGAAACTCAAAGTTTTGCTTTGCATTCCCAGTAATGACTGTGTTGTTTTTACGTGATGGAGTTCCTAGTCTCATACTTAATCTCCCTTCTTTATCGCGTTTACTGCTAGCTAAGCGAGGTTCAGGAGTCCGTTGGCTGGGAATCGAACCATTGACCACTGACTCACAGGTTTGAATATATTGATACTTAATTCCCTGTTATCTTAGACGCACAGACTAAGTATAAAGGTTGCGTTTCGATGTAGTTTTTATCGCGAAGTGAAATAAGCTGTGAAACTAATGGGGTCGGAAAATTTAGCTGTGAATGAAGAAAGTTAATCACTGAGGGATATCCTCTAGTTTTGGTGGTATATCGAAAATTAATAGGTCTAAGAAAATTATGAGCATTGGATTTTTGCTCTGGGACTTAACTTTTAACGTGTCCACTGCATGGTCTAACAGTTTTTGGACCGATTCATCATACGGTTTCCATTAAGCAGTTTATGATAATTCTCGATCTAAAGCGATATTCACTTCGCCTACATGTTTAGTAGCTCTACAAATGATATTGATCTGTTATGAAAACTGCTTTCAGATTTAAAAAAAATCCTTACGTAATCGAAGGGATTAGCGCTATGAACGGATGTGTTTGAAAGATTTGGATTGGAATAGACAAAATCCAACTTTTTGTTTACGCATTATTCCTCAAAATGTTGTCTGTTTTTTTCCCATTCTATTGTATTAAAATTTTGTAATTTTGACGAAGTGGGAGTCTGACTTTTGTTATATTATGAACAAATTGAAGGCTTTTTGCTTTAAAAATTAATACAAACTTAAAGGTCTCTCATTCATTAACAGTTGTCTTCTCTCAAGATCAGATGGCCAGAAATGATCAGCAACAGGGATCTCTGGGAGCGAACCAACCAGGAACAGATTTTGCAACAAAATAGGCAGGAAGAAATGGAGATGGATTGGTCATAGTCTGAGGAGAAACCATCAAGTGACATCACTAGACAAGCCATCGCTCGAGTGGGACCCGAAAGGGAAGCGGGGAGTTGGTCGTCAGTTCGGGGGGTGACTTGAAGGAGGTCATGTGAAGAGGAGATGAAAACATGTGGGCAGACTTTGAGCCAGTTGAAAACTCTAGCAGAGAACCGAACGCAATGGAGACGCGCGGCTGAAGCTCTATGTTCCTCTAGGAATTAAAGGAAATAATAATAATAAAGGCCTGTAGTAGAAATCACTGTCAGAGTGCTCATCAACCACTCAGGTGGTCTGGGTTCGATTCGTGGCCGATGTACTCCTAAACTTCACCCAGTTTACTTAGCTAACAGTTAAGCACTGAAGAAGGGAGGCTAGCTCGGCTCTCTCCACCGGGTTGACTGTCCATTGGATGACAGTCTAGGGGAGATGGCTAAACCCTGATTCCAAACCTCCAACAACTGGCGTATGAAGCTCACCGGAGTTCACCGGCAGACGTATGGACAAAGGGCTTATTGGATGCCCTGGATGACTGGCCCCATTCAAAAAGGCGTATGAACCGGACTCCGGTCACCGGCTGGCTGCCAATGGATAGTAGACTCCCTACTCCACTCCTACTGCCTTGTAGGTCACACTTGGTTGTGTAAAGGCTAGAGCTGCACTCAAACAAAAGGCCGAGCGATGCTGGGGACATCACTCGTACCCAATTCCTATGAAACTTCATGAACTCATGTTCATGAAGCCGGCTCATCCTCCCGTAGGAGATAGCCGAAGTAAAGTAAAAAAGTAAAGTAAGCTAGCCACTCTGCTCTGTGGGAAAAACCGTCTCTGAATTTTCAAAGGTTGATGCTTGAACCTCTATGTTCCACTTGGAACTCAGTGAACTTACAGAAGCGGATATCAGAGTGTGGTGTGTGCTACTGACACGATTTATCAGTAGTATATAAAGAGACGTTCATCGGCACAGAAAATATCAAATAGCGGAGACATAGATTTAACGTCAAAGGGAGGAAGTAAACCAGTATTGGGGCGAAACATGAGATACACAAAGAGAAGACAAAGAAACACAATATGAAGGAAAGAACTGTCACAAGTGTTCTGAAGGAATGTATCATTCGAACTTGAATTCCATTATATGTTATTGTGTACGACTAGTTCTTCAGAGCATGTTATATTTGATCTACCAGGCTTATAGTCAGAGGCTAGCAACTCAAAATTTATATATAAAACTTATTTTGTTTTTCCCCTATCCTGTTAAATTCTTTGTTATACTTTTATGATATTTTCTTGGTAAAACTTTTGTTTGTTATTATCATTACCTATGAATTCTGAACAGACGCTTAGAGTTATCTAGTAAAACAAAATGTTGCACAGGCCTAGGTCTGAGCAGTGGTAAAAATCAGGTTTCCATGCTTTCCTCATTTATAAAGTTAATTATTACGAGTATAACTTTAACATTCAATTCAATAGACAAATTTATCAGTGTTACACTGTTGTTGTCGTTATTATTATTATTGTCATTTTTTCTTTCCCAGGAAATTTGATCTGTCTCCTTATCCTCAGAGAAAAATAACTCTTGTGTTGTTGTGTACATTAAAAAGAAAATAGTCAAAAATAATTCTGTCGCTTTTAGTTTGTTTATTGAGGTTACTGGAAACTAGTTCATACATATATATATAATATATATTGGAGAACAATGACACAGTTTATGTTGCAATACTCAACCACTGTAATAGAATCGATGGCAATGAGTCTTGTTCCATATCCTGGTGACTGGAATGAAAGATAAAAAGAATATTCTGTTGACTGATAATTATAGGTCACATGGCTGGTTTCTGTTTTTCTCTCGTGTTTTACCGTTTGATTGCATATTCTCTCTCTCTCTCTCTCTCTCTCTCTCTATATATATATATATATATATATGTATATATATATATATGTATATATACGCCTCTCTTAGTCATGTAAACACTGGCCTCGCCTATCATAGCAATACAGAGGAAGAAAGGTGAGGTTTAAAAGCATAAAACTCAGGAAGAAAAAAAAGCTTTTTCTATTTGCTTATTAATCGCTACCAGTGGGAATGATTCAACTTTAGACGCAAACCTTGACAGTAGTAGAATTTTATTTCGTCTGAATTCTGTAATAGCTATAGAATCGTCATTTCAAATATTAATCATCATATGGTTACAATAGGACTAAGTTGTCTGTGTACAAAAAGCTTTACTGCTGCATATTCGACAGATGACTATTTCAAGTTTGATGAGGGAGTAACATTAGTTAGAGAAGCATTGAAAACCAGGAAGTAATGAACAGTTGTCTAATCCTAGTTTGAAACTTAGTATTCACCCATGATCCTCTGTCGGATTGAACCCATGACCTTGTAGCTATGAGTGTGACTATTCATTTACTGGAATGGAATCCAATGCTCCATGTATTCTAACTTCTTATAGTTCATGATATATATATATATATATATATATATATATATATATATAACACCATTGCCAGCTTATGTCACTGACGAGTATTTGTCCAACTTGTTTGAACCCACTGATCATGGACTTTTACTAGATTTCCAGGAGAGCCACCCTCTAGCCCTTCATATTTAGTTTTTTTTTAATTTGTTAAACCATACATAACTTATAAGAAAGGTACTATAAAATTAATGAATGTTATAAGTAACTGGATAATTGTCTAAAGTGAATATCTTTTAGTGACTGACTGTCTAATGTTCAGAGAATGTTTGCGAAATATTAGTTATAGCGTGTTATCTAAACAAACTACACTAATGTTTTAGGCCACATTTTTCCGTTTATAACTGTATTTAAAGGTTTTTTTTAAGTGTGTGATTTCATAACAATACTGACAAAAAATTGGGAGTAGTGTTCACAGCTTTAAGATGTTCCACTTCACACTAAACTCTTTGAAGAAGAAAGTTAAAAAGAAAATCAATAGAATTACTCTGCTATTTTATAAGTTAGAAAATGTTGGTGGTCAGAACACAATTAAATGATATTAAGATAGGTGTATGTGTGCTATTGTCATATGAATTAGAGTCATTAGGTGTGGTTGGTTAGACTTCTACCTACAATCTTGCACTTCTTTATGCTTTTCAAGAATTTCATTCAAGGACTTATTGAACTAATATCATGTTTCGGTGTAGTCATTGTCATTGAACACTTACGAAGCAGATAGATATATAACACATGTCTTCGGTTATTAGCATTTGGAGTAGAACATAAGGCATCAGTTTTTGAAGTTTCAGTAATGTGTGCGTCGGTGGCACAGTGGTTAGGACTCTCGCCGACCATGCACATGGTCCGGGGTTCGAGCCCACGCCGACGCACACCTGATATCTATGGTCGGCCTGCAAAATTTGGGCCACCGATATCCACGCTGAAAATTCCATACTTGTACCAAAAATACAGTGTGGAATCAAGCTGTAAATCGAAAATCAAAAAAAAATCAAAAAACAATTGTGCTGTGTTTTACGACGTAGGATTATTAGTCCCACTGCAAACCTAACTTCTCCGGCCTTACCACCGGCTAGACAAGCTATAGGAGTGCTTTGATCTCGTGGCTGTTGAGCATTCTACCACTGGATAACCGATGCGACATGTTCATTTTAACAGTTTATTATATGAAGTATTATCTCTTTAGACAGGTATTTCCATACTAAACAACTCTAATATTCACTATGCTAGTTTGTTTTGTTCTTTCTTTCTGTAAGACTATATTCAGTATAATTTTAATATTGGATTATAGACTAAAAAGAAGTCGTATGGCGGTAGTAATGGCGGTGATGGTGATCATAAGGATGATGACCATCAGTCGAATTTACTGATTGTCTCCGCTGTTGTCCATTCATCTGAATCTATTACCACTGGGAATGTACAGGATACTTTCGATCGAAATACAAAATGTACACTATCATCACCATCGTCATCAGCATCTGCTGCTGGTGCTGCTTGTACTTCTACGGATTCTTCTTCGTCATCAATGGCAGCAGCAGTGTCCTCAACACAACAACATCGTCAACAAAAACAGTCTCGCCTTGATATGGATAAAATATGCCAGGTTAGTTATAGTTATTTGATTAATTCTGCAATTTTATGCGATTATGTATTCATTAACGATATGGAGAATTTATCACATCAAGTATTGGAATATCTGTAACAACAGAAGGCAAGAGTCAGGCAACAGATCGTTTATTAAGGAAATCAACATATATTTATAGACTTTCATGTGCATATTATAGATTATTGTTAGCAGAAAAACACAGTCTTCTGATTGGTTGTTTCTCACAGAAAATTAACCTTGCATCTCTTTGTGGCTGTTTCTTGAATGTCAGATCATCTATATGTTAACTGTACCCGCCTACGCAAAGCCTTTGTTCTCATTTTTCTCACGACCAATATTGAGGACATAAACATTGACGTAAATTACTGTCCACTAATTTGGCTAACAGCCAGTTTTCACCACATATCTTGTCTGTGTACGTTGGGTGGGTCCTATATGTACACGACCTTGTAGAACCAGAATGACGGAGTCTCCGTGTGTATGCCTTATCCAAGGTATTCCTTATTGTAAATTCATAATAAATCTCTGCATATTTTAAATATGAACACCTTTGGAATTGCATTTGCATGCAAAAGATGGAAAATATCCATTAAGTTGCCAGGAAAATAAACAACGATTCAGTGAAGGTAATTTTCTACATCGCAAAAGTCATCTTCAAAGACCTTAAAATCGTATTTTTATTTACCAAAAACATATAGTAGTCTACTTTTGAGTAAAAGCGGAGGTAGCAGAATCGATAAGATTAGTCAGGAGTGGTTTCTAAAAATAGAATATTACGTAATTCCCTGCGACACAATGGAAATAAGTCTGAAATCTGATGGAGTGGAAATTTGAATAAGGAATTAAGAAGACAAATTTCGCGAGATGACGTCATTTCGTAGTTTTCTTACAACCGTTTTTCAACTAACATAGTTCACAATAATAAAATAAAGTTCATGACCACTACTCAGTTGAATAAAAAAACAAAAGTACATACTAATGACCAATCATATTTAGATAGGTCATGTTGTCCATGGTAGGCGAAGATTGAAGTCTATTGTTTTGACTGTACACACAGTTTAGGCTGTATGTGATTAATCTAAAGTGCTTCCATCACCTTCAATAATCTTGAATTATAGTTATGTGAAATTGTGAAACAGTCATTAATATTCCATTATGGGTAAATTTTGTTTTGATAAAGTCTCACAGTGTTATACAGTAATGTTTACTGATTGATTTTGTGACCTGACATTAATAAGTGTTTTGTAATGGGTGAGGCTGGATTTCTATTCAGATTAGTAACCATTTTGGAACATGTTGTTTTCGACAGTAGTGGAACATTTTATTGGTTCTACCCATATAGGTGTCATCGCAGCCGCAGTTGACCTGTGTAGATACAGTTTGAAGTAGAGTTCATAGAATTTCCTCCTTTAATCGTAAGTACAGGGATCGAAAATTTCCGGCAAATGAGAAAAAGAGATGCGGCGTAGAATGTGCGTTTGATGGCTGACCGAAGTCTTTGAGCTATCAACTGCATAATTTGGTCGCCCTTGAATGGTCGGTTAATAAAGATAGCTTTCTTTGGTACAGATGTGGTCTATCCTCACTGTGACAAATGATAAAGTTCTCCGGATAACCATTAGCTAATAAAACTGAATGTATATGTTGAAACTCATCCATCAATGTGTCACTCGTGCATACATTTTGGGCCCTTGAGAACAAACATTTTACTACAACATGACCTATCTAGATATGATTGGTCATTAGTATGTACTTTTGTTTTTTATTTAACGAAGTCGAAATTGTTATTCGATGAGAATTAAGGTAGATGACTGTCCACTTGACAAGTGTGAAGATGAACAAAGAAAAGAGAGATGTTAGAATGTACAAAATTGTTTTGTAAGAGTGATAATGGTGAATTAATTACTGAAAATAGAAGGGAACCAATAGAAAAGCTCTCAAGACAATGGTAGAATAGGAGACTCAAGAAACCTTTTCTGAATGCACAGTTCAGGATGTTATTGATAAATCGCTAGCATCTCTGCCATACACACAAATGCAGAAATCTAATACCCAATGTATCATTTGACTTTATCATGTAGATAATTTTAAAAGACAACTCTGGTAATGGTATATGGTATGAGTTCATCTGGCGCTGGAGATTTGAGCTAGTAATTATCTTGCATTGCTCTATTGATAAGAGAAGAGTTCCCAAAGTAGCTCCATAGAAGCAAGTGGAATTACAAACACATATTAAAGTGCAATTAATAGTGTTCTCTGAGCTGGTTGGTTTATTTGCGGAGCTTTCATCGTCTTTCTGGACGGTATCTTCAGCGCAGTATTTAGCATAAAGTTAAAGTGGCCCAAAGCCACAGATTACTCTTCACCTATCCATTAGTCACTTGCCGACTGTAGCAATTAGTACAATAGCTAGGTCGAAAATAGTACATCTTTTTATTTGTTCACTCTCTTTTTCTATCTTCGTCTTAGACTCTTCTCTACTATTTCGCTTCTAATCATAGTAGTTAATTCATTATTATCACCATTACACGTTTCTTCTGCACACTTATCAAGTGGACACTCATCTACCATACTTCTCATCGAGTAACAATTTTCACCTTATCAAATTTCAAACTCTTATTTCTGTTCTCTCTTCTGGTATTACGTAGTATTTTGCCCTTGGAAATCATTCCTTACTGACTGCATCGATTATGTCATCTTCCCTATCACTCAACAATAGATATTAAGTAGGATTGTAAGGTCTTTGAAGATGACTTTGTCTATAAACAAAACTTTCTTCACCGGATACTATGAATTTACTTGCGTACAATTACGTAATTATAAGTTGTTGCGTATGTTGCATTGTCGAATTTCATTGGATAAAAATTGAATCTTCAAACATCGAAGTCGAACAAAAAATTTCCATATATCATGAAGCGTATAATCATAATCAGCTTCAGTGACCAAAAGTAAAATCCCAGGTTACTAAGTGTTGTTGTTATTTCAATTATGTTTTCTGCAGTTTGTCTTTATTTTTCCTATTTAGGCGTGTATATTTTTTGTCATCACGTGTAACTGTGCGACAGTGTGTATGGGTGCGTGTAGTATGTGTGTTGCCTTTTCCTACCTTTTCCTTATTGTGTGTTTTTCTCTTAATATTTTTAAATCTTATTTTACTTAACATTTGGTCTAACGCTTTACTTTTTATTTTTCTAGTCACTATCTGTGTCTTATCTTCACTTTTGCATTAATAAACAGAAAATTTTTGAATCATGTTATTTTGTAGAAGAAGTTGTATTAGGCATTTGGTAAAGATATGTTAGTCGGTTCTTTATGACCATATGATATGAACGATAAGGACACTCTGTTTGCCCGGGTAGTTTCAATAACGTCGCTAAAATTTGTTATAGGCTAATATGATCGGTACTGACAGTAAAAATACCGTGACTATGGTTCGATACATGAAGGTGGTAGATAAGTGACTCCTTTGAATACCGAATAATATACACCTATGTCTGATCATGCCTTATTTCCAGAGCTTTTGCAAATAAAGATAAAAGACGAAATGGTCTGTGCCGATGAGAATAATTGAAATTTCGTATGTAAAAAAATACATTATTTACGAATATTACTCACCTCAGAAAGTTAAGCCAATAGATGATAAGTAATTTATTTGGTTTCATAAGTTTGAACTTCAGTTTTGTACAGTTTCATTATACTAAGTGTTCTGTTTCAGCCTTGATGGTCTAAGTTTATCCAGACTGGCTTTAACTGATTTAAAGATTAAGCGTCTTTCTGTCTTCCAGGCTCACTAGCTGTTTTAGTCGCTATCCTAGCGTAGAGTGATTGTTAGATTGATAGGCAGCGGTCATAACTGAAATCAACACTTTAAGTCAATAGCTGCAGAGGTAGAAGTGTTTTTATTCCTCAAATCTAGATTTCGTCTACATTGTGGATTTGGAATAACCTCATTAGATAACTTGTCTGACCTTGGGCCAATTGCAAACCAATTGGAACAATTTTTTCTCCTCTGACCTTTAGCTGAACTTTCATATGGCTAAGAATCTATAGGTTATGACACGTTTCCCTTTAATAAATGTTCTCCCGTTACTCAAGAAGTTCAGTTATATTCTTTCGTTATCAGTATTCATATATGTTTAAAGATGCATAGGTGAGAGAGAACAATAAAAAGGTAATTATTCAGATTAATTTTTAAATCTTTAATAATTTTGTGTTTGTTTTTAAACTTTCACCTTGTTTATTTCTTGTTGTCAGTTTATTATTTTCTTGGTGATTTCTTTGTTTTCCTACTGTCACCTTGAGTTACAGATAGAAAGCAGCGACAATAATAATAATAATAATAATAATAATAATAATAATAATAATAATAATGGGGATAATGATAACAACTAGAAATTCTCGGTGCATAATAATATTGTAACCACTGACGGATTATACGCATTTGTGATGGATGATAAAGTCAGTTGGTTATAACAGTTGTGCATAAAAAAATGTAAAAGAAATATTATCTTGCATAAATCGTCAAAATGGATTGTGTGAACTATCCGCATTTAAATCATGACTTTATTTATTATCATGGTAAAATTGAGGCAAATGATTTCGCGAAAGGATTCTTTTCCCCATCTCTCTCTCTCTCTTTCTGCTGATTATAAGTTATTATTTTGTCTACATTTTCACGTGGAGTTGTTTTTTCGTTTCCCTACTTTCCTCCTGCTGGGACACACTGGGCTTCAATTTTACGGAGTGGGATGGCTGACTTCACACCCAACCTACTCTCTTTTACAGCCTTACTGCTGACTAAGAAAGTAAGTGAGGTTTAAGAGTGCATCTGTTGGGAAACGAATCTTAATCTTCTACCTGACTGGTGACTATTTTAGCATTGAATCACCAATGCACTTGACATAGCGTATTTCTTTATATTCCTTCACGTTCCCAGTGGAATATAGGGCTTCAAGCTAGAGGCTTGAAGTTTCTGCAGCAGTGGTGTGTTTATTTTTACAGGATGGAGTTGCTAGCCTCACCTATCCCAACCTTTCCTCTTTACCAGTCTTATTTCTGGCTAAGCGAGGTAAAGGAGTGTGTTGGCGGCCGGGGATCGAACTCCGGACCATGTGCATGGTTGGCGGGCGTCCTAACCGCTGTGCCATCGACGCTATGAATAGTGATTGATATTTAGTGAAAAATGCATAGTGTATTTATTAATCGAATTAGTGATTATCAATTAAACTGAATTGTAGAATTATATTCCAATTTCTTTATTTAGTTTCAAGTGTATGATGAGACTATTGGTTCAAATTTATGATTGTATGCACTCAGGACGTTCCATTGGTGTCTATCAGGGATGTCTGATGTCTTCATTGATATGAGAGTGCTTTGGTGTGTGATTATTAGCAATAAATTGTGCTCAGAACACATCATCAGTGAATAATACTGTAATACCGTGTGTATGTGTTTTATTGAATAATGTTATTCTATGGTACCAAATGTTACAGTTTGTATTTAATTTCATTGTGGATATACTAATGGGATTGGCCCTAATCATTTTTGTTTACTTAAAGATTGACTTATTATCAGGGAAAAGTTTCTTGAATTTAGAGTATCCAGACTCTATAGTCGTTCTAGGTGAAGACGCTAACAAAATACAGTCTTCTTAACACTTAGAGAAAAGATATGTGTTTTTGTAAGGTGGTGCTGCCAGACTAGCCTGCACCGACTCCTATTTTAGGGAAAGAGTGTAAAATAGTTGAGTGTGTTGGCTACTTTACTTATTTCGGAATTTCCATTAGCTTTGATGGATTGATGGATAATGAGATTTTATCGCAGACACAAAGAATCGTTTGACATTTGCTAGTTTTCTTCATCTTTGAACTAGGCGTGAAATGCAGCTATCGATCAGAGGACGCACTTTGCTTCGCACTTCTTTACGACTGTTAAAAGTTATGATGAGGTTAGCTTTCTGTGACTATGGGTGTTTGTGTCCTGTCTCTCGTGTTAAGCAGCAACACATGGTCAGTAATAGTGAGATTAAGCATATAGTGCCAGACGAGGAGGGAAAGTTGATCAATGAGGTTGTGAGGCTGCATCGCTTGAAATGGCTACGACACGTGTTATGCATTCCAACCTACCGTCTCCAACAATTAATTTTAGCTGGTATTGGATTATTGGCCAGGAATTTGGGATGGTCAGAGAGAAATACTGCATCAATCCATGAAGCCTATGTCTGTTGATCCAAGCCACGTAGAATGCCCAGCTGAGGATCGCTTGACTCTAAGAACCAATGATTGAAAATTAATCTTGGTATTGCCGAAAAACATTCTCAAATGTACAGATACATTCATTCCTTTAAATGCACCAGATTCACTAAATCCTCATCATTTTTCGTGTAATTATTCTTCCTACCACATGTTTCCTCTTCTTCTTATTATTTCTTTGCATTCCAGTTGAAACATGGAGTTTCCAAGTTTTTTTTAACTGGCTAGAAACGGCTTAGAAGTGCGTCGGCTGGGAATCGAATCCAAACCACTTAAGTGTTTGGTAAGCATTCTATCGATGAACTACCGATTGAGTTTCTTGACTCTACCTTCATTTGGGTGGGGGGCAGGAGTTATGAAGTATGACTACTTGAATTGCTGCAGTTTAAGGGATAGTCCTACGTGGAAAATTCAGTTCCGCTTTTCTTTTATAAAAAGCTGCAAGATTCCTATGAATGAAATAATGCATTTAAAGCCTTCATAAAGTGTATGCATATATGTATGTGTTTCTTTCGGTATGAGTTCGTCTCTAGAGTAACTTTAAGCTCTCTGAACAAGATCTAAATGGCAGCTAAAATTAAAAATTGTTAACAATACATGGAATTCAGTCAGTTTGCAACGAAATCATCAATTGAGATTGTTTCCTCCTGTTCTTCTCCTTCACTTTATTCTGTTATCAAGAGTTATAATAAAGGAATTATGATATCCTATTTCTTCACTATATATCCGCATGATTTATTTATTATTAATATAGTCTACCTTATATGAATCCTGCTATGGAATGTTTCATTTCCTGACCTTCGTCTACACTTGTGAACTGGTGATTCATTGGTCTAGACACCCGACTTCCAACCATCTTATCATGATTTCGAACCCTGCCCCTCATACCTACACCTATGTTTGGGCAATCAGGTACTGTGCCTCGCCCACAAATAATGGTCGTGACACATTGCTCCGGCTGCATGGAATTCCAAATGGTTATTGAATGAAAGCATACATTTGTTTTCATTCGTCTACACGTATTTCACGATTGGCTTCAGTTTGACACTGATCCTGTTTAACAGCTTCTGACAACAGTACTGTATGTGCTTTCCTTTTCATTTTTTGTCGTTATAGTCTGGTTACATTTTCTGTTCATTGACCATTTCATATAATATTATACTATTTATGTGTCTCTGCCTGATTTCATTAAGCCTTCCTTATACTAACTTAATTTTTTCAATATATTATTATTTCTTGTTTCATTTAGACTAATAAAGATGCGCTGAGGTCTTCACAGGCCAACTCTTCTAAAACTTCTCACCATGGCCGTGGTGGTTCACATAAAAATGTAAGTATATATTGAGAGGCTTTTTTTTACTGATGTAAAATACTTGTTTCGCTTATTTTTTTTTTGTTTGATATATCAGGCATTGTTGTTATATCTTTTTCTGAGAATAGCGTAATATATACAGTGGGTTTTAGTGTTTCACGCTATTTTATCGATTGACGTACACAAAAAACTGAAATAACTGCATAACACGATCATAAATCTATTCTTGGTTAATGTGAGTAGTTGGAAATTATTCACATTAAATATTGGCGTTTCCTAGCTAGATTAAAGTAATGTGAACACTGAACGATAGTTTCGCTCGTTACTGGCCCTTAGCTTATCAATGGTGTTATCCCAAGATATTGACTTAGCTCAGATAGTCAGCTCAGGTCGAACTACAAAAATTGTAGTTGGTAATATACGTGGAAATAAAATGACTACTCTTATATTATCTAGTTTGAGGTAACAATTCACCATAGCTTTGTTGGGATACTAAAATAATTCAGATCATAATATTTGGTCTACTTGATATCGTAAATAGCAATCAAGTAAATAAGTAAGTAAGTAAGCCAGCGGATGAAGTAGCATGGTGTTATGTTCTACTGATTAACATTAGGTAGTTGGCTAGTAGTAGTAATAGAGTAGTATGGCTATTTTGCATGGTTTCTTGGGGGAATTTTCGCTTATATCTGTAGTGTGTCTCCTTATCATACCTCACCAACAATTTTATCGTTTTGGATCCCAATTCTTTGATATTGTGTAGAATCTTAAAGCTTTCAAAAATATGTACCCAGTGTATTATATCACTGAGTGTAGTTACTAATTGACTGACTCTACATACAGCATGAATCATTGGCGAGAAAAAAAACCCTACAAAGATGAGACAAAGGAAAGAGATGAAGAAATAGGCAAGATAAAGAGCAAATCAAATTCTTGGTAAGGAATGAGTTCGTTCCCGACGACTTCTACATAAATCTGTTTAGTCGTATTTGTGCATATAAACTGATTGATAATGTCAAAGCTAACCATCTAACTGTCTAACATTAAATTATGCAGCCTATGTTTTATTTCATATTCTACATTTCGGCTGGAGTTTAATTAGATGTGATACCATAGCTACATATTCAGACAGTTCATACGCAAGATAATTTCTTAAATCAGCTGTCGGTTTGTTGGGATATCCTTGTCTTATGAACTTTAGCAATACCATGCATCCTAATAGGATTATTAATTAAATCATTTAAAGTCATCTAGAAACCGCTTCTTTCGGTGTATGAGAACGTCCCCTGTGGATTTCTCCACTTTATTCATGACACTGTGAGACTTTATCAAAACAAAAATTTACCCATAATGGAATTATACTCTACCACAGTGTACAAGTTTTATTCTTATATCACTGTCTATTGATCTTTGAGTTTCTCCATAAGGTGCTGTTCGTATGTGAGTATTAATGGTCTGCAATTAGTCTAATTTGTCTTATACTTTTCGTGAATTACCTCCATCTGATTTAATAATCATTATGTGCTTGTTGTTTCTTAAGGTTACTTAGACCTTCCATTTACGATTTCGTTAAGTCGTCTAAGCGGTTAGTGGACACTGTACCTGTACTTCATCTGTAGTTGTACTATCTATTCTATTTAGTGATGTTTCTATTTTTTGGGACCAGACATCCTTAGGTTTCAGTTTATCTACTGCAACATCAAAATATGTTCCTTTATCCAACGTACTTCATTTTGTAGAACTCAAAAATTGTATTAAGAGACTGCTAATAACCCACTTTAATTTATCGATTGTCAACGGTCGAGGAGTGAATCAAAGGAAATTTAATTTTACTGAATAGACATTCTTATCTATGAGCTTCTAGGGATGGATCTCTGCTATTTTTATTTTACTACATGTCCTTTTATTTTCTATTCATTGAATATATTCCATCTCATTATTTGAGACTAGGCTTAAAATAGTTCTTTCTCAACAGACAAAATACAGTAATTGTGTTAGTGTGTTTTTGGATTCACATTTTTCTTCCTTGCTATATTCTAAAGTATGAACAATGCAATCATGCAAATTGAACTCACTTTCTCCTCATTTCTATTATAGTTATACAGCCATTTGTAAAGTAAAGCAATTTTAAAATTTTTTACTTGTTCCTGTCTCGTGTCATCTCTTATACCTTTTCTTATAGAAATAATAAATACAATAGAAATCACTGTCATTCTATTTCCAAGTCATTTGTTAATTTATTGTGCATATTTTAATCATTTATTTCCTCCTTTCATACATACACCTTCCTAATTTAATTATTACTTTTTGAATTCGGTCAAATTTAGCTTATTTTGTCTTCATTACTGTCTTAATGACCAGTTCCAGTACACGGTCTTTCTTATTTGTTTTCATATATGCCGCCTACTTAGATTAAACAGATGGAAGCTGTTTATTGGTTGATTTTTCTTATTCAATCATTTGAATGCCCATTCGATTCGTGATTGGTTAACTGTTGTTTCTTTTTTCTCAGTTTAGAATAGGATAGATTTCCTTTGTGTCAAACAACTGATTACCTATAGTGGCGCTAGTCAGTTATAGTTATAAATTAAAACGCCATAATCCCTTCACATTGACAATCAAATGACATCATAAATACCCTGGAGTTAAAATTTAAATAATTTACTTTTGACATGACGTTATGTTAAAAATAGACATAGTGACCGTTGTCTTTTGTCCTTTCCTATGTGCTGTGTCTTCAGTTGTTTCCATATATATATATATATATATATATATATATATAGGTTTACTACAATGGAAGTTAAGTATCTATTTTTTTACCCTTAAAATTCGCTCCTATGCAGTTATATGCTAAGCAGATTTTGGGTAATTAATCTTGTTTTCTAAATAATGAAAACAAAATAATAGGATTATAGTTAGATTCCATTTCTTTTTAGAGTAAAATCAATATAATGAATCTACATCTAAGACTGATTTTCAACCCTACTCTAGACTGTCAGATAACGAGTTCATCTACTATTTTTTATAATTTTATATTGCCTTTTCTACTTGATTCCAACTTTTTGATGTAGTCGCGTTCTTTTCATCTGCCTGTCTGTCTCTGTGTGATTTCAACATAGAACTTCACACCGATGTGCAGCACTTCGAGTCGCCACACTCCAGAGAAGAAAGTAGAAGAAATTCATAATTGAGACAGTAAACAGAGGTGTGAGACAAAGGAATAGTAATAACAAAGAACAATATAGTTTCATTGGAAATTATAAGTCACAAGGAGTGGATGCATCTCCGCCAGTCATTGAGAACGATTTTGAGCCATATCACCAATTGTTTCCAACCATTGGTTTTTACCGTTCCGAGGACCCCAACCAGTCAGGAAGTCTACATCTTCCTATGTGGCTTGAACTAACTGTTGTGGATTTCACTGACTGATAAAGACATGCTTTGGTTTGACCACCACTAGCTAACTCTTTTCCAGCCTAACCGTATGTTAGCCGGCATTTCCCGTCGAGGAAGGTAACACATGTCCTAACCATCTCAGTCGATGTAGCTTCACAGCCTTGTCGATTGATTTCCCCTTCTTACCTAGCACTCGAGTGCTTTTCATCTGAATGGTTTGTCTACGAAGCTTTCATACTCCATTTAGACAACATCATCAGCGTATGCCTCAATATAGGTTATATGAATTAAAAATGACTACGGACTACTTTCAATCGCCTTTTGGTTAGCTCGACTCCTATTGGTCTGTTAATGTTTCAAATTCGGTTGTTGGTTGATTTACACACTGAATTGTTAATTTTCAACTATAAGTAAGATATTACTTGTTTGGCGTCCGAACAGTGGTAGTTAATACAACTCAAGCCATGCAAATATTTTGGGATAAGAATTTTACGTGAAATTATTTGATAGTATAGAAATGAATGTATGCTTGCATTGTATGTGGTATTGCTATTGATATTGTTGAGAATAATATGCCTCATCTATAATTCAACTATGTTATCCCTTCAAGTTATTGATTATTTGAGATCGTAGTATGCACGAATTAATCGGAAGAAAGAATTGAGGTTAAAGGACATACTGACTTTAAGACACATTAAAACATGCAAAACCTCAACAACAACAACAAAACTGTTAATTTTAACGGGTAAACTAACAAACAAACAAGAATAGCCAATCGACGTGATGACACAGTCATGACCTTAAATCTAGCAGTATCGTTTTTCTTTGAATCCTCTGTGAATGATATATCTGAATCTGTTGACAACCTTTTATCTTGACTCATTATTAGTTCGCATTAGTATTGATCGGTTTAATATTGATACAATTATTTCCTTTGATAAACGTGAAAAAAAGTGGGAAAGAAAACATTGTCTAGGATTAAAATGACATTTGTGTCAGTTTCATAGAAACCATGAACCATGTGCGTCGGTGGCACAGAAGTTATGACTCTCGTCGATCATGCACACGGTCCGGGATTCGATCCCCTGCCGACGCACACCTGATATTTATGGTCGGCCTGCAAAATTTGGACTACCGATATCACATGTGGAATCAAGCTGTAATCAAATAAAATATATACAAAGTATTCTAATACTTTAATTATGGTTGATCATAAAGTTGAAGGATATGAAATATCACATGATCGAGTAGCATAAAGATAAAGGGATGAAAGTTGTTATAAAGCTCATTAGGAGGATTCTAGAATATGAGCGATTGTTGTAAACTGAATAGAGGTGTACAGTCAACTATCCATTTATGTAAGGATCAAATAATTTAGTTGGACACGGCCTAAGACAAAATTAAGATGGGAAATTACATTTGTAAAACAAAATATACTTGAAATAATCATTAAATAATGTAAAATACATTTATCAGCGTAAGGTAAGATCAGTGCGCATAAATTCAGTTTTACTCATTTATCAGCACTGGCTTCAATGATACGTAACCTGGTGGAGAATGTCTTGAGCTTTTATATCTTCATGGATTTCAATGCATCGGTTTCATGACTGCTGTCTAACAAA